CTCTCCTTCAACCATTTCTTCCCACAGTAAATATGTTTTCTCGCCCAGCCAGGCGTGGCTCAGCGGTTGAGTGTCGACCTAAGATCCAGGTGATCAGGGTTCGATTCCCAGTCAGGGCACATGCCTAGGTTGCAGGCTAGGCAGCTGGTCAATGACTCTCTCATCACTGATGTTTCTCTCTCTCTCTCTCCCTCTCCTTTCCTCTCTCTGAAATCAATAAAAATATATTTAAAAAATAAATAAATATGTTTTCTTAGTCTCCCACTGCCACAACCACTAACCACCACAAGCTCCAACTTTCCACTATTTTGCATGATTTTAAGGATCTCTTTAAATTGTAAAAAATCTAAAGTAGATAAGATTCTCCCACAAAGATGTGACATAGGTCAGAGTCAAGAGGATTAAGTCATAGTTTTTAAATGATAAATTTATATTTATATACCTTTGACATGCATATTAGGAATAGTTCTATATTTTTGCCTTGCGTATCCACTTTGAATTCTAGATCTTTTTCTTCCACAATATAGAAAATTACTTCCATATTTTATATTAGTTTATTTCTCTCCCAGGTTGACTGCTTTTCATATATCCATATAATTAATTTTGTTCTGGCCATTTGTCAATTTATCAGGGTATTTTCAAATTTTATTTATTTAATTTTATAATTTCAGCAATTTCACTGAAGAAATTATTGAGCAACACAGATCTCACAATGGTGCCTATATAAAACCACTACAGGTATTCTCTTCCTTTCAAAAGTCATGTTACACCACTTTGCTTTTATAAAACCTGCAATTAGTGCATGCCTGCTTTTACTAACTGAAAAAAATCCAAAAGGATTTTTGCTTTTATGAAAAAAGGAAGAAAGCAAAAACTGTTCAGCATTTGTTTTACAGCAAGCTATTATAGAGGTAGTGTGTACCCTGAGTAAGAGAGGTACTGCTTTTATTATATGTTAGTGCTATTTTAAGTTTTATTATGTTAGTGTTATTTTAAGTTTTATGGCATGATTTAGTAGGTTATTTTGGGGGTCAAAAATTTTCCCATATAAATTAATGGTACAGTTGACCCTTGAACACCAAGGGTTTGAAATGCATGAGTTCACTTATAGCAGACTTTTTCAAAAAATACTTTAAATGTATTTTCTCTTCCTTATGATTTTCTCAATAACTTTCTTTTATGTAGCTTACTTTATTGTTAAGGACACAGTATATAATACACCTAACATACAAAATACGTGTTAATCAACTGTTTATGCTGTCAGTAAGGCTTCCAGTCAGCAGATGGCTATCAGTAGTTAAGTTTTGGGGGGAATTAAACGTTACACATGGGTTTTCAACTGCATGGGGGGTTGGTGCTCCTAACCACTCCCCCTTCCTGTTGTTCAAGTCTTCACTTTATAAAAGATTTCAAAGGAATGCTCTACTTTCAGATGTGGACAACCTGTAATTACCATAGATTCCACTATAGATTGATACTAATCCGACTCTTCAGCCTATAAACTCTAAACCCTTCTAATAAATTCCAAGTCTGGGGAGACTACCCTTCCAGAAATGACAGGTCAAGCTTTATTCACTTTCTACAGGATGGGCAAGAAGGAGGCAGAGTTTCCATTACAGTTTTTTTCAAGACTTCAATAGTGCCCTAAAAGGGGGATCACCATATGCCATTATTCTAACACCTAAAAATTGCCCTTTTGACCAGAATTGATAGCAAACTGAAAATAGAAATTAGAAGTGATAAAATTCTAACAAAATAGGAGTAATGGGAAAGCAATCAGCAGAAGAGTAAAGACCACCTTCAGCCATCTATTTGACCTGGTGCTATCAATGGCTATGCTCCCAGACCCTCGCTGGTTTGTTTGATTCAACCACAGCATCGAGAGGTCAATGTCATATGCCTGATCCCTATGTGAGTAAACGAGCACTAGTTTTATGGTCAAAAACTTGCCTATTTATCCATCCTCTTACAAATACCAGTACTTGTCCTAAAGCCACTCATGAAAATGGACATGAACCAATCAATGCAATTTTATCACCATTACTGTAAAAATAACCAGGAAAATCTGACCTGTGTAGTTAGCCCACAGCACAAATTTAATTTAGGAAGAACTCCCTGATATGCTTAGATCAGAGATATGTAAGAAACCAGGCTCTGTTACTTACTAGCCCTCTGTGTGACCTTGGACAAGTTAATTTTTCAGGGCTTTAAAGATAAAATACATTAAGGTAGAGCTTGACATTAAAAAAAATAAATAAATAAATAAACTCAGATGATGCTAGCCCCACCACCTTCCAGAGATAAAAGCTGGGATGGAGCCAAACCTACCTGTGTTCCAATCCTGGTTTTGCAGCATACTAGCTGGACAAGTGACAGTCTTATCTTTCTCATAAAGCTGGGATAATGAAGCATTTAATTAGTGCCTAGCACACACCAAATGTCAAGAAATGGCATCTATTTTTTAAATTGCTAACACGAGAAAGGTATCATCATCATCACTGCCTGCTGATCAATGTTTCTCAAAGTGTGGTCAGGGAGCTGTGAATATCAGAAAGACTGGGCATGTCTGTGGGAGGAAAAAAAAAAAATCCCATGTCCCAGCTCAACCTATTCAAAAAAGTTCTCCAAGAATGGTACCTGGTAATATTCATTTCTGAATCAAACTTCCTTGAGATGCATACTAAAATTTAAGAATTACTGATCAGCTGATCTTGTGCTGTGTCACAGTAAACTAAGGCTTATCTTCTAGTACTTACTCTTTACCATGCTAGGAGAATTACCCATCATGTTTTGTTGTTGTTGTTTTAATATATTTTGGCATTGTTTTGGAACTACGTATTAAATTGATAGGCTCACTCCTGCTTTGTTTTCCAATGGCACTATGACTTTTTTTCCCTCTCTGACCAGATGTTGGCACACTATGGCCTTGGTCCGAAGCCAATTTTGTATAACTCCAACCTCCCAAGGGAATATGTGTTCAAAGGGTTGTTTAAAAAAAAGAATATGCGATAGAGACCAAACGTTGCTCACAGTCTAAAGTATTTACTTCTCAAACCTTTACAAAAGTTTGCTGGCCCCTTAGTAACCTGTAATTGTGTGGGGTTTTTTATCCTCACCTGAGGACATATGTTTACTTTTTTAAAAATTGATTTTAGAGAGGAAGGGGAGGTAGAGAGAGAGGGAAAGAGAGGGGGAGAGACAAACATTGATGTGAGAGAGAAACATCCATCGGTTGCCTCCCATATACATAGTGACTGGGGATCAAACCCTCAACCTAGGTATACTCCCTGACCAGGAATTGAACCCTTTTGGTGCATAGGATGACACTCCAACCAACTAAGCCACCCAGCCAGGGCACCTATAGTGGTTTTTAAACTCCAGTCCCAACACAATTTACTTAAAAAAAAAGATTTGAGTATAATAGAAAATATTAGATATTTAGTTATACTAACATATTGTACTGACCATATACAGGTTCTTTAACAAGTGCCTTGATTCTTAATTTCCTCCAACCTTGGAAACTAGTCCTTTTTTTCTTTGTGTGTGCATGTGTGTATGTATGTAGACATGCATATGTTGGAAGCATAAAAAGAAGTATTAGATGCTTCTGCCTTTTGTGCCATCCACTAATGGCTTCTCCTCATCTACTTAAAATATGTATTCTTTTATCTTTTTCTTGTTTCTAGTAAGAAAAGCATTTGATTAAATTCTTGTGCAAAAGGAACAATTAAGACTGATATAAAAATTTTTAAGTAACAATCTTTCCCTTATTTTCAGGGAGCACTAATTTCCAGGGATTTTTGTGATTGTTTTGAACGAGCTAAAAATATATTAATTTTATAACATATTTCAACAATTTTGCAAAGAAAAGAAACACAATGACAAGAAAATAACACTTGAAAATGTTTTCATTATATGAAATGCACTGCAGGCACACAAACCACAAGCAGTGTAAATAAATAAAAGCTAGTACAATGCTGAATGCATGTTTGCCTTATACCACAAAGAAACACTTGCACAGTGCACACCATGTTCTTTCAGCTTGGGATGCCACAGAGATGGGATTTACGCATTTGTGTGAATATAGAAGATTGTAAATTTGCTTGTGTCTGTGTGTTAGGAAAAGAGGGTTGTAAGCAGAAGGGGTGGGACTTGCCAGGAGCAGCTATTTGAGAAAATTCCTTTTTCTTTCCCATTCATTCTTTCTAGCTTCAGTGTCTGGCACAGTCCTTACAATTACTCACTGGCTTTTCATTCTAAAGACAACTAACAAGCTTTCAAAAACTTCCAACAGTGTTTTTCACACACTATTTTTTTAAGGCACCGAATCATTCAATATTTGTTTTATACAAAAAACAATTAGCCTGTTTCCTCATTCCAAAGACCCCGTGTGTTACAGGCTCAAAAGGATCCTTTGTTGTGTGTTCAATATTAACACAACGCTTCGGTATTGGCAAATTGGAAAATAGATTACTTTGTTTCCAACCCAGTATCAAAGCTATTACCATAAATTTTGTTTTTCTCCAATTTTATGCTCCTTTTAGAGAATTTGCTCTCCTAACACCCCTCGCCTTCTCGCTTTGAACACTCCATTAATAAATAAATATAAGGGTTGAAAAAGGACGCCAAGTGGGCCAGTTTCCTTTATGCATAATGGTATCCGTCCAGAGCAATTAAGTCCAACCACGGCGAAAGTTGTCTCGCAGATGCCCACCCCAAACCGGCCGTCCTCTGCCTCTCAGTCCAGGATCAGAGAGGGCGGACGGGCAGAGGACCCTTACCTTTCAGCTCCCCACCTCCAGAGGAGGGGACGAGGGGAAAGGCATGACAAGAGAGCAGAGTAGGAAGGTGGGCGAATGGGAGACAGAAATGGATGCTGAGGGGGTGGGCGAGATGGGAAGGTAGAGAATGCGGGGAGAGGCGGGTGATCAAAGCTGCGGGATTAAAGAGCACGGGGGGAAAGGCTGTGGGGAGGGGGCGCGCAAGTGGTCGATCCTCACCGTTGAACGCTCCAGTATCCGCGGCCTCCTCCTCCTCCTCCTGCTCCCCGTTCTCGGAGTCGGTGTGCATGGGCTCCTCGGCAAAGTTGACCCCCTTGCTGGGGGTGCCGCCCCCGGCGGAGCCCACGTCCGCCCAGGTTTTGCCCTCATGGCCAGAGCGCGCGGCGCCTTTCCGCTCGTTCTCCTGCTGCAGGCGCGTGAAGTGCTGCAGCGCGAACTCCAGCAGGTCGGCGGGCTGGTGCCTGAGGACCTCCACGGTGAAACCCTGCAGCAGCTCCGTCAGTCCCGCCGGGATCTCGATGCTCATCCTGCCTTCCGGGCGGCGGGCGCCTGCGCGCCGCCCTCGCCCCCTCCCCGGACAGGCCTCGGTCCCGCGGCCGCCCAGCAAGCGCGGACGGAGCTGGAGGCGCTACTGGCTG